GACATGGCCCTCTAGAACGAGGTCTTCTGTCATAATTTCTCTCTCTTACCTATGCATGCATTTATTGACATATAAACTGGCAACATTCGTCGTAGCGATCAGTCTTTTGACTTGATTGCTAACCTTTATGGATTAAGATATGAATCCACTGTATTTTTTGTTTCAATATACTCTTATAAAAATCGCAGAGACAGTTTAATTTTTCGTTCGATGCAGTCTTACTAAATCTCCGTTTTGCTTCTTTTTTAGAATTACTCATGCAAAACGGCTGAATCCACTCGAAACTCCATACAAAAAAGTGTTGTCATACTCTGCCGTGCGGTAAGCACCTCAAAAAATACAAAACGCGTCTAATTTAAATATCTGAATTTATCATCCTCATGCCTTCTCGTCTCCCATAAACAAGAATATTTTCTTATAATCAATATTGTCATATCAATATTAGACGAGCTAAGCCGAAATAAACAGTTCATTAGGTAACCTTGTGCGGTTATAAAAATTGGCATAAAATTGTAACTAAAAATCCAGTGTTTTCTAGCCTAGCCTTCAAATATTGTGTTGAAGAGGTCACCTTTCTATCCATTCATTATGGAACGAGTAAAAAACTGCTGTCAAGATGCACGGAGGTCTTCCTACTTGCATTATAATAAATTTTCTCTTCCCCAACATCTATCACAGCACCTACACTTGTGCTCATTCAGTGAGTTAGCTCATTTCCATTCTGTAGTTCCAAGGACCGAATAACTAGCATCCAATAATTACCTCTAGCTCTTGACGAATTGTTCCTATCAAGGTTTTGAATTGTACGTCTGTATTTCTTTTCTAGTGAGGCAACGCGTTAAATTTACGGTAGTAGTAATGGTTTGCAACCGCTTCAGCATTCCTCTTTGACACTATTTAAAATTGTATGTGCAAAAGTATCGAACAGATACCCTGCAAACTTTCTTTTTGAGGCTCAGAAGTGTCTTTGGAGGCAGACATAAACGTTAAAAATCTTCCGAGGTCCTCCTTGCTCTCTATTTAACAGAAATATTTTTCAGAGACTTTGCAGCTGAAGGATGTGCTTAATTTCAAGACTGATAAATAAACCGACTGAGTTGGCGACCTCCATCATCCGAGACTACGCCCTTGGGGTTGCATATATTGGTCCATCGATATCTAGATCCAAATTCGCCAGCATCAGCACTGCGTGCAGCCTTTTCAAAATCCCATGAGATAAAATGCATCTGAAGACCGAACGATTTGGCGCGTCTTCTTGAAAAACATGTCCTTGTTAACGAGAGCTTGGATGTGAATAAACCTGTTCCAGGACTTGATAGTTACAAAAATCTCCAGAGTTTGAACGTGCAACTTCATTATCTGCCACAAGCACTAACGATCGACGACGATGAATGCCGCAGCGACGTCATTGAACATACTACCCACTATTTTGCATGACGCAATTCCAGGCAGCCCTACGACATAAATGTTAGGTCCATTAATGCCCAGCCACTTGAGAATCTGGCCGTGTTTTTCCTTAGCTTCGCATCACTTAAACACAGTTTGATACCCGAAAAAACGCTCGTCTTGCAAAACTTAGCCAATTAAACTGCATTAGTTCACTGATTGGCTGCAGGCGACCTAGGACTCACACCCTGAGAACAGGAATCAACGGCGGCCACAGACACTCCCATGCATTGACAACTCGCTAACTGAGCGGAAGCTCGTCAATCGAAACAAAATTTCTGCTAGTGGTTCGCTTGTTATCTGGGACGCTCGTAGATGGGGCTGCTCGTCATCCAAGACCCCACTGTACTCAGAATGCTTGTCGACTTTGTCCGACTTGACATAAATGGGCTGGATACTGTAATAATGAACGTCTCTTGACACAGAAGGCTAATTTCTGTCCTTAATGACACGCTTATTGAGTTCTGGCAGGTTTAACACCTGAAGCATGTCTTACGAAAGTCCATATTTCGACTAGTCTTTAGTAGATTATTGAGTTTTTCACGGCGTTTTTTTATTGCTGAATCCGTGAGTGAACTGAAATACTTCCTCAAATGTGCCGCAGACGGTAGACTCCAGTAATATTCGATAGCTAATACCCTTTTCCATTCGTAGTGCATTACAGTACGCGAGTTCCGTTCTCTTAACTTTATTTTTTTGGGCTCACGCCGTTAGCTTGCCTGATACGAGGTCCATTGGGTGTGGTTTAGGTGGGCGCTGGCAGACGTGTGTGTATGCGAAGGAGAACCTAACTTTATACAAAAGGCCATCAGCCTCGACGCCATGCATAGTTTTGTTACCATGCGAAACCTGGACTAGGGTGCATCCAGTCTAAGTGACCATAGAATCACTGTCGGGCTAACCAGGCAACTGAAAATCCGTTTCATGGTTCCACCCTTCAAATCTTAGCATTCACGATTGCGTCAGTAAGCACTTTGATCCAAGGATTTAATAATAAGTCTGTCACCAGGCTAGTCTAATT